TTCGACGCACAATCTGTAATAGGTTTTATTCTTTACATTTTCAGATCATCTCGACTTAGCTAGCAAATTGTCTCTGTCCCCACATCCTCGTTACAAATGAATTCGACTGCATTTCAATTTAGCGCTGAAAATAAGTTCTTGCGTTAATATGCGCATTTTTGTTATTCTTTGAGCTCTGAATGTTTTAATTAACAGCGATGTAATTAGTTGTTGATAGAAACAAAGCATAAAATGAATTTAATATTGTACTTTTGCTGATTATAAGTAGTATTTAGTAATTTGCTAACTGATAAGAACAGCTAATTATAAAAGTTACTAAATAAATTAAACTGTTCTTAAACACAAATGACATCATTTTAGAAAGTTTTTACAACAATCTTTCGAAATATTCAAAACATCTTAGTCTATAAAATTTTCCATTGAAAAATTACAAAGTTGGAGCATTAATAAAAATAATTTTCTTATTAAATTCGAATAATGTTTATCTCATCATTTCAGGCAAGAAGTTATTGATTTGGTCTTATTACCAAAAATACAGTTACGAGTTACGGGTCCAGAGATAATCGTAATTTCTTTATGTTGCAAATTATTATCGCCAGGGAAATAGCGACATAAATTCTGGGTGTTAAAAAGCTGGGCAGTAATTTATTGTCTTTTCAAATTATTGGACTCGCTCCAAATGTGTAGGAATCAATTGAATGAACTTTTTACGAATTCTAAATTATAATGAGATGAATCTAAGCAACAAATATTTCTTTGATTCCTTTATGTTTAAAGAAATCCTTGATGAGAAATAATTTTATGGTCTTATTAGATTGCATTCAATTAATCTTGAAATATTTACTATTCTATAATAGTTGAAAGAATTAAAGGATAAAAAACACGTCAAAGTTAAATTGAATGTGCCTAAATGTGGTACAGTTTCATATAAGTTTGTAGCAATTAAATCATATCCGACATTGTATTGGACACATTGGTAGAAAGGCCATGAAATGCAACTTAAATTCTAAACAAATTTTTCCAGACAAAATAAAATTTCTATTTGCAACTTAAGCCAAATTATGCCAGAGTCGCAGTGAGAAAATGTTTGTCGCATTTTTGGTAATCAAACCTCAAATGAAATGTTCAAGGTATCCAAATGCGACATTGCCTTTTTACAACGTTTTTGATAGTTTGCTCAAATGTAACTATGAAATTTTCTGATCAAAATGTCAACCTTTTTCTAATTATACAATCCTCGATCGTTTCCTAAGCAATGCAAGCAGAGTTAATCATCTTTTTATTGTCCCCCAAGTTCAATCAGTTTAAGACTAGTCAAGTATTTAAATTTTAACTAGAGCTCTGTTTTAGATGGCAATACAAATTGGCAGTGATTTCCTATTGTTACATGTAAAATTATTGTGATATTATTACCAAAATAAATTTATTATTTTTTTAAAACGAAATTACACCCTCCTTCAGATTAGCCAGAGCACTATGATTTTAACGGACGCTCTACGTTGGACCTAAGTTTCAATAAATTTTTGATAGCTGTAAAAATTATTGCAATATTATTGCCAACTAAAATTTACCGTCAACCCGGTTACGATCAAAATTTTAACGTGATCAAGTTAGTACCGTGGACGAAGTTGTATGATCATCACAAATAAAATTCAAATGGATCTAAGCTCTAGATTTGTGAAAGTTTCATTAAATCGCATTTACGGCTGATTCTTGAATTAGAATTTAAAATATCAGGTTCTTTATATTTAGGTACCTTGACCTTAAGATCGTATATAAAAACTTTTTTTCAATTTTTTTCTTTCAAGCACTGTAAACCTAGGTTATCTGGACACACTTTTTATAAATTTCAAGTATAATTTTTTTTAAAACTAGTAAAGAAATATGCTGGTCTTTATAACCGACTTTCTTTCAATCTAACAGTAGTGTTTTTACTTTATAACAATTATTACAACATATTTGCATTTGATAATACATAAAAAAATAGATATCAGGCTCAAGTAGCTCGCGTTAGGTTGGGTTACTTCAAACTATATAATATTTCTTTATATTAATGAATTGTAATTCTGAAAAAAAATTGTAAATTTGCTATTAATGAATGTCTTAAAGGGGCTTTGTTTAGGATATTTTGTCATATCTGATGGAGTTCTAATTGTTCAACAGAAAAATCAGCATTTGAAATTGATGTAATTTATAAAAGAATTTTAAATGAATGTATTTTTGAATAGATATAAAGGAAATGAGTTCTCAATGGTTTCAAGCCAATCATAGGTTCAAGTAAATCTTGAATAAAGCAGTCAATATACCAACATGCATTTTAGAATCATTTCAAAGGCAATTTGTAATTAAGCATTTAAATTAATATCACATAAAGTACAGTTTAGAAAGTAAATTAAATGATACGTTTGCTTGACTCAAGAATGGTACATAGTACATGGAATGGTACATAGACGCGAAGTATGTTGAAGAACATTAGTACAATCTCCACTCAATTGGGGTGGTATCTCGTAAACTACATGAATTGCTTCAGTGTTTTTAGCACTGCTGTAAGCCATATTGTGTGTACCCAGCAAAGTCAAACATCAGCTCAAATTACCAGTCACTGATTAACACCAAGAGCCGTATTAGCAACAAGCTCCTCTACAACAACACCTTCACACACAGCGCTACACATTTTTATAGGTTTGCCTATCCTTAATTCAGTTTCTCTTCAGTGTATTAAATCATATTCCTTTAAAATATTTAAATCTTTCAAAAGAAGAAATATATTTTCATACCGGTCATGGTCCTTTCCCTAAATACCTTTAACGTTTTGAATAACTGAAGAAGAAAACTGAGCCGGTGGAGAAACAGGCTCTCCATATCATTACGTAACAAACTGTCCCCTAATACAAGTTCCAGACACACAAGAAAACCATCCCCTTTGAATCGGAGAAAAAACTTTCTTTGTTAAAAATTAAAATCAAAAATCTGCTAAATGAGCAGTTGTTTAAATTCTGAGTAATTACACATCAAGTTAATTTGTCATTCTGTTTTGCCCTTTTTTTTACTTTCTTTTTTATATACATTTTTATTTATTTTTGTTTTCTTTGTTTTGCTTTTTACTTTTCTTACAAGAGGGTTATCAAAATTTTGTTGCACAAATCATACATTTAAATTGCCAATGATTAGTTGAACTTTTTTTTTACATGAATGTTTATTCTATGTATTAATTTGTGCACATATCTCCGTTTTTTTAACACTTTGTTTCATCATGTTTTAACAAGCTACTTAATATTTGGTTCGTAATCTTTGCCTTACTTTTATGTTAAATAATTTTTAAGTACCCTATCACATTTTTGTAAAGCAACATGTTACATTTTTACTCTGATTTTGCTAATCATCAAGTTTCTTTTGTTATCCTAAACTTCTAATTTTTTTTATTTGTAAATTCGCTATTGAATTCCAAAGAAAAATTCAAGTAATCTTCAAACAAAATTTATTATATTTTTCGGTTTCTACATGGTATTTAAGTGTTTCAGTTAATCAAAATTCAATAACACTAATAACTACTACTTTTAATATTTTTTTAACTTATGTACTTTAAAAAGAAGTCTCAAAGTCTTTTCATGTTTTTGCAATTTTCATTTGTTTTATAATGGTTTTTTCCTCTATGGTCTAAAACTGTACATTATTGAAATTATTTTAATCCTCAGTCATATTTTTTTTCTTCAATTGTATTCAATTTTCTGCTAAATTTGCCCCTAGTTTTTAGTTTTTTAGTTTGGTTTCCAAATGAACTGAAAAGATGACGAAAGCATTATAGTGCAGAGATGAGTTTGGGAGTAAAGTAAAGTAAAAGTGTATTAAATCATCCATTTAATCTTTATTTGAATGAGAGGCTTCTATGTAGTGTTTTGTGTGCTGGCTCCCAACTGATTAAAATTTAATATTAGCATTTAAACAAAATCAAATGTGCTTTAAAGAGAACGAATTGTATCCTTCACATTTTAAGATATAAATTATGATATTAAATCTAGTTAATTTACGCCATTTGGTCATTAAATCGTCACTCCATTCTATTCATCATACTTTCTATGCGAACTTTTTTCATGACTTAACCACATGTAATGAAGTTTAGAACAGAGGGAGAAAGACCTTTTAAACTTAGCTTTGCAAACTTCAGACTAAGAAAGTAAGAACTGCACAAATGAGAGATGCGTTATTAATTACCATTATGGAATGAGTTTATTATAATAAATAAAATTATCCATGTCTAAGTTCGCTTTAAGATAGAGTTTTATTTCAACATTATATGTCAACTATAAATAAGCAAATGTATTGCACTTATTGGGATTGAATGCCCTATTTATAATCACGATAATATCACGATCAGGCATCAATAACCAATCAACGGTTATAAATTTACAACCATGGTATTTAGAAAAGTGAAGGCAGGTTGTTTATGTGAAGAAAATGATTCATATATGTTTTTAGATTTCCAGCTCCAAAGTGGTGGTAGTTGTCATGCTAGCAATGATAATTGAAAGATCACTAAGCAGTTTCTCTCCCGTACATTCCGTTTCTAAAACGACTAGTAATTTGAGGTATCCAACGAGAAGCTGTAGATGTTATGTGTATTTTTTTTGGTGAAGCCGAAAAGTGTAGAGAGGTCGCAAAAATTCATAGAATATTGGAAAAGGATGTATGTAAAGCCTTCCATGCCACTTTTCAAGGGTTTGGAAAATAAGCAAGCGGAATCAGAAGCAAAATGAGGGAACTGACAGCTGTTCGGTTATCTTCCATTTATAACAGTTTCTATGACAAATCCCACAATCTAACGAGTAAAAGGTGCGCGAATTCTTTTTCGTACAACAGCAAAATACATTTCAGCGCATCTCCATAATTTTGTTTAATCGCTCCTGGTTCTTTACTTATGGACTGTACATCAAACAGTTCTGCTTCGTTTAAAAAATTTACTTAATGTTTAATAGTATTTAATATATTTCTTCCATTTTTAGGTCATTTGGGTATGCATTGTGTGCCGCAAGAAACAAGAACTTCTTATAAAAACGGGACAATGGCTTCACAGCGGCATGGCTGCCAAGCAACGAGAAATTGAAAGTGGTGAAATCATGTCTCCCAAACAAGACAAGAGGCCAAAACTAGAACGCGCACACAGCGAAGGAAAAGAAAACGTGGACAGTCACTATGTATTGGGAATTAGTAGGAGGGGATCTCTTCAACAAATACATAGGACAAATAGTCAAAGAGAACTTAGGCGACAGTATTCTCAAGAAAGAGAATCTGCGAAACAGGAATCCCATACAGACATTTTAAGGTATTCAGATAGAAATCGACCGTTAAAAGACAGAAGTCCTCCACCGGGGGACATCAAAAGGACTAGACCTAGTGAGATGCCTTCCCGTGGAGATGCCTTTTCTCGTTTACATGGTAGTGGTAGTTTAGACAGTCGCGGTGGACGATATGATGGTACTTCTGATCCTAGTTATGACAGGAGAAGAGATCGGTATTCTACAGATACAGGTGACCATTATAAACATCCCTCTGATAGGGATATATCTTGGAAAGAACCTCAAAGGTCTATTCACAGTACCGATCGAAGGCAATTTGGTAGGGATCAACCTTGGATAAGCCAGGAAGAAGATCGTAAAGATTCATCACTAGATCGAAGGACTAGCCAAGAATCGTTAAGCTATCATTCAGATAGACATGTACGAATGCCTTATATGCGAGGGGATGAATGGAAAGAATCTCCTAGAAAAAGAGACTACGATCTTCATAGTTCTGGTGAGGATCATCGATTAAGATTGCTAACAAGTCGAAGTGATGACGACAGAAGGACACATTTAGATCCAGATTATGCTTCCGACGGGCGAGGGAGGGGTCACAACAATCGAAAGAAAATTGATGCTGTGGTGAGAAATGACTCATTGAGCTCAGATCAATCAGAAAGTGTTCGACCACCTCCTCCTAAGCCCCATAAAAATAAAAGAGGTCGAAAACTTCGGCAGCGGTCTCTTAGCAGCTCGGACGACGAAATAAGGTCCACACCCGAATGCTCCAGTTGCGAAGAAATCGATGCCGAAAGTGAAAGTATTAGTGAGAAAGGTAAGTAAAATTCCTTAATTTTAAGTTCACATTACATTTGATTAGATCCAATATTTCTCATATTTGATAACAAGTGCAATTTTTTGACTGATCACTGGTTATCTTCGTACGAATTCCCTGCAAATATTTTCAGGATTGCGCATGGACATATTAAATATATTTGCATGTCCTTATAACATAAAATAACAGCTACACTTTCTGATTATTGTGAATTCTATCAGAGAGACAAAGCAAAACAAAATTTCCTGAAAAGCAAAGTTTCCCTTTTACTCTTGAAAAACCTGCATGATCACAAGGTATTTGTTTATGATTACACTTTTTAATGATGGCAAATTCTATAAGAATGCCAATGCATAGATGCATTCCTGAGTTAAAGTTAGTTAATAGTTAACAGCAATTATTAAAATATTGCTTGATTTTTATCAATGATAGTTGAAATTGAAGCAAAATTTTTTTTCTTCGTTCAAATGATAGAGAAAAAAGGTATAAAAGTGAAATAGAATAATTAAAAAGCTTGAAAGGATTAGTGATGTTTGCGTTATTTTGCAGATGTCTCAAAAGTGTATTTTCTGCTTACTCATAATTTAAATAAATAACTATATAAGTTTTGTTGCTTTCATAAGTTTTGCTATCAGGAGTTTTTTCTTTGCGTGTTTTTTTGCGTTTTAGCACTAAGGTTTTTCAAAGATTTTGGAGTGCAAACTGGTGACTGTTTCCATCACAGTTTGATAAAGACAAAAACCTCAGTTGATTTTTCAAATGTAAAATCGGTCTATTACTTTCAAATTTTACAATCACATTAGAGAATACCATAAAAAATATTACAAATAACATAAAAAACGTTGTTAAAAAGTTTATCTGTTACTGAAATGTATGCAGGTAACTTTGTTACAAATATGTTAATTATTTCACGCATTATAGCAAGTCATATAAGACTATTGAACTAGACAGGTATATGCTATTAAAATAAATATGACTTTCTAAATGTCTATATTTAATGATTTTAGAAACTATAAAACCTTTAAACAGTATATTTATTTTATACCATGAAATTACGAAGTTTGTAAATGGTATCAAGAAATATCTAATAGTTGAAATGTAATGTTTCACAATATTTTCAAGTTTGAACATACATTACACTACAATAATGAAAGAGACACTTTCAGTTTTTGACATGTTTTTGAATTTCTCCAAAAATACTCCAAGGATTATTTTAAAACTTTAGAGGCATTTAGAGCAAGTGATTCCTCATATTTATCAATAAATTTTAAAGTTTTAAAAGATTGATGAACTGTTAATTATTCACGAATGAAAACAACTATTTTTTAACATTCTATGCCAAAAAATATAACAATAAGCTTGTAACATGTATGGATTACTTCGGTTGTTATTCTTAATAATTTTGTATAACATCGTAATTCTAGCTTAAAAATTTATGTAGATAAAGATATATTTTATTAAAAAAAAAGCAAATCTTTTTTGTTTTATATATTTTTGCTATAACTTATGAAATATTCGTTACAATTAAACAAAATTTTTGGAGAAATTTGTTTAAAATCGAACATGGCGTAAGCATTTGAAGTAGTTATTTTATTGCATGTGGTGAACAAATGTAATTTTTTTTCCTTTATAATTTTGTAGTGAATCGCATTTAGTAACAGATGAAAAAAATTTGATTTGAATTTTGATAATTTAAAAAGTTTCTAGCAATTTTCTATGCAGATTTTGTACCTTTTAAAAGTAAACTCTGAATGATATGGGGTTACATCGGTATTGTAGAGACTCATCCTCCATAAAAGGATGATTTCTTTCGCTAGTTTTTCTTCCTCATACCATCACATTTTGGCATTACAATAATCATTACGGATGATTATTGTAAAGTATTATCATTTGTTATTTAATTTTGTTTACCATACAAAATAAAATTTGTGGAAAATCATATATAATGTGCATTTTTTTCACATTTTAAAATAATAAATTTGTAATTGATTTAAAATTACTCCAAAAATTTTGCTCGATTTTATTGAATGTTTTTAAAGTCATAGCAAAAAAATATAAGATAAAAAGATTAGCTTTTTGTAAAAATGCCAATACCTAAATAAATATTTAAGCTAGGTTTACGAAATTTTATGCAATTATTGAAAGTAAAAGCCACAAAGTTAAAAGTTTATTGCTGCATATTTTGGCATAGGGTGTTTAAAAATACTTGTTTTCGTTTGAAATTTATTACTGGTCTTTCAAACCTCTGAAAGTTTTAAACTTAAATGATAAGTATGAGAAATTGCATGACCTAAACATCTCTTTAGTTAAAAATGATATTTTAAGTATTTCTGGAGAAATTTAAGAAAGATTATGCTCTGTATCGCTGATGTATTGATATCGCTGAATACAGCGATACCGCCCATTCGTGGGGTATCGCTGTTTTGCTAACTTCCCGAAAGCATGGGATTAAATCTCTTTTTAACAGTAGATGCATATTTCGGCTATCTTACTCAAACTTGTGCTGTTTTTCAAATTGAAAAGTTTTTTTAAGTTATCCTTTGTATTTACAAAGAAACCCACATATGCATGTGAATAAATAATAATAATAATTGAAAAGAAAAATTAAATTACAGCCAGCTTGATCGATCCAGGTATAGTTCTATATTTAAAACGCTTGAAAGCGTAATTCAGGCCTATTTTTTTTTCTGTCCGAGAATTATATTAAGAAATTAAATAATTAATCATCACCTGCTTCCTATCAGTCATTTAAATAAACTGACATTTATAAATAAAGTGTTATTTTAAATAAATCGTAGAAGTTTAAAGAGTCGACTACTATTCAATTTGGTAAACGGCATAGTCATCAAAGGTTAAGCCCCGCAGTGAACTGCTCGTAAAAAAACGGTTCTCAGTAGAACAATAAAGTCAGAGAGGCTGTGGTCAGAGAGCCGATGGGTGACCTGCCTAGGGACCGAGGGTGCGTAGTATGGGTCCTCGTTAAACTGTTCTGCTCTACTTAGCGCGCGGATCGTCGGGCTACTAAAGTAGGGGAGCTATCCTTTCTGCAGAGGATCAAAATTTGGACAGCATGTCTTCGGATCATCCTGAGGGATATTTCCCAAACTACTACCAATTGTGTAGCTCGACGTAAATAAAATACTACTACAAAAGGTTAAAATTACCAAATAAATGGTAAAATTAATGACAGTTCTGACGAAATTTTTCGTAAGTTTATCATTCCTTAGATCATGGCATAAAAGCCCTTTATTGTCTTAAATTTACTTTTCAGTTTTGTATATTTGCTAAATTTGTGAAAATAAGAACTACAATTTTGAAAACAAAATTTTTGGTTAAACCTTTACCAGAAGAAATTTGAAAATTACTGAATGAATGAGTTAAATACGTTAATTTGGTTTTACTGCCATAATTATGATATTCTTACCAGAAATGTCATTACTATATAAGTACGGTAATGTAACTAAAAATTTTTTCTCCGTGAAGTACTTTCTCAAATAAATATTGATTACCAAACTATAAAAATTTAGGGAGATGCTTAGTTTTTTTTTAAGACTAGCAACTGTTTCAGTACATAAAATTTAAGATTTTATCATTACATCTTCATTTTATTTGACTATAATTACCTAGCTTACTTTACTACTAAAATTAAGTTCACAATTTAGAAGCAATAAAATTGGAAGCAAATCAGAAGTGAAGAAATATCTGTTGTAAAATTTGCAATGAGCAAGTATTACTTTCTTAAATAAATATTGTTTTCCAAGCAAAATATAACGAGATGTTTAATAATTTTTAAAACTAATTAGCATGATAACTGCTACACGACATGAAATTTATCAATCTGATCTTTATTTTACTTCACCTTAATTACTTCTCTTACACTTCATTATTAAAATTATATTCACTATCTCAAAACAAAGAAATTAGTAGCAAATCAGAAAATTATTTCTTTTAAAATTATGTTAATCACGAACGCTTACGTTTTCAAAGAATTGCATGCAAAGAATATAGTGTGTCGTGCTTCCCCCATTGTGTTTTACACTATATATTTCTCATAAAATAATTCATAATTCTAAGCAGACCGGATTTCTGTGGCATAAAAATCTAATCATAATTTCACTAAAAAAAGGCGTGTCACGCAATATTGGACTCAAAACGAAGCTTCCGTATCAAAATTCAAAGGATATGTTGAAGTCAGTGCAGTTGTAATGAAAGTTGCTGTTATGCTTAAGAAAAATTTTCAGAAAATTTATTCTTAAACTATAAGGATGACGAAGAAAATAGATTAACCTATTAATGTTGAGTTGTTTAAGAAAAATTTGAAATTTAGCATAGAATGGCAGGAAATCAACCTAAAAAAATAATTAAAATAATCCGATAAATTTTTTTTAAAAATTGATAAGTTTTAAAATTACTATAAATCTTCAAAGAAATCTAATTTGATGCAAAACTCAAGGAAAAAAAGTACTCTTAAGCATTTACTAAAACTATGCCTTACTCAAATTATATAATTAATAAAATGTAAATTGTTCCAAATTTCACGCAAAAAGTAATTTTGATACCATAGGATTTTTTTTAATCAAGGATTGTGAATTTTTTATTTATTCTTTAAGTATTGTGAAGTGGAGTTACTTTGACACACGTTTTGAGTTTTTTTTTTTTAATATTTCGTTGATATAACAATATTGAATTATTTTATCATGCTAATTAAGAGCATAGCATAAAAAACATTTATTCGGTTAAATTTACTTTTTATTTTTATATTTTTAACTAAATGTGTGGTAATACGAACCATAATTTTGAAAACTAGAATTTCTGGTAAATCATTACCAGGTAAACAGAAGATTTACGAAATGAATACTTTAAATACCGTATACTTTAATTTTATTAATCAGAATTATGATTTTTTTTACCAGAAATGTCACTTCCATACAGTACGGTGACTTTATCTGAATTTTTAAAATTTCTCTTAAGGTTTTATTTTAAGTATTGGATAAAATCAT